ACATTGAGACATTTGAGAGGTTAAAACTGGTGCTTTTGTCATAGAGGTGTGTTGGATTCATATAGGCACGGATTGGTTTTACCAGGACAATCAACATGTATAGTGTATACATACTAGTACTCTAATACGTAATACGCTCTCGCACAGAAACGATAGGTTCAGTAGTGTATAGGCCTCACTGTCCACCCTCCAAACGGCACCATTATCTTTTTAAGATTGTACTGATAATTACAAAAATTAAACATAAAAATCATACCTTTTAACAGTTGTTCTCTACTCCACCACACTCCACCTTTCCTTTTCATTTGTCAGTTATTCAAGGCTTTTCTGCTAAGAAATCACAATATCGTAGGCAGTCGAGTGAGTGTTCAGCTGTGTAGAACTTCAGTATAGATGTTTCGCTGCCTGTTCAGCAATAACCTGAATGGTTTCATTTAAAGATCATGGCACAGACACAATTTAACATCCTCGCTTTGGAAGACTATGTGAAAATAGTGATTCTTTCCATTTAACCCTTAAGGTCACATACCTCAGGTCTTTAGTGACCCGAGACTTCATTCACTACCCTCCTCCTCATTCATTTTTTTTAAAGTTAGACATCAATCTTTGTAATATTCCTCAATATATTCGTTATAAACAATATAACAAGAAAAAATATAAAAGGATGCCTGTTTTCCCATGTATTTTTTGTAAAACTTGAACGGGGTCGCTATTGACCCGAGGTGTGTAACAGTGTAAGTATATATTTTTTTCTCCACAACAATAATTGAATCTTTAATGACTGAATAAGTGCAATTCACCTTTATTCCAGAAGGTGTCAATGTCTGATACACAGTGATGAAGTGACGTTTCACTCATAGTTACTGCAGGCAGAAAACAAAAGAATAGGAAGTATCATCAGCAAAACTTGAAATGGCTCAGTGATTTACTGAAGAGTAAGTACTGAACACAATAAATATTACTGTCACTTGATGGTGGATCTGGTGAAGACGCTGTCAGCGATCAAAATACTGACTTTGAAGATGTTGAAAATGATTGTTTTGAAAACATGTCTAAAATTGCGAATATGAGCCAGATGCTGAATGTACTGCGAAATAAGCTCTGACGAGGACAGTGATGATGGTATAAAACATCTGCTCAAAATGAACCAAAAGGTAACAAAATATGCTATATTTTATTCTTCTGTAATTGTTACTCTCATATCAGGAGAGTTTTATATTATCGCGTCAGGTAGAGATCCATCCATGTTAGAGATCCGGATCGCTAAAGACCCGAATTTGTAATAATGTTTGGCAAAACATTCATGCATTTAAGGGTTAAAATGCTCAGAATAATCAAAGTCTTGTACAAAGCAGGATGTTGAGATCTGTCTGCGGTGCTGTGATGACGTTTCTGAGTGTGAGGGGAGATTACAGGCAGTTTTGCTGTGTATTCACAGTTTTTACTCTCGAAGGTTAACCATAACACTAATATGAAAATACTCTGGTCTTAGTTTTTCATAACTAATTCATCAGGGGGAGGGATTCTCTCTTTTTTTTTCAGCACATCTGATGTAATGTTGTTTGAATATGTGAGACCTCTCATAAATGGGCTATAACAGAGAGTTTTGAGAATGGTTTAGCTTCAAACTTGTTTTGAATCATTAAATATATCAATAATGAGGATGAATCTAATGCCAAATATACATTATTTATATAAAAAATACATATATTGATAAATGAATATATGCCTAATTTAAATAAGATTTTTTTTTTTTTGCTCTAACCCATGTTTATTTGAACTTTGTCAAGATTATTTTATAAAGCTATGACAGCATGCAGGATCGTAACAAAAACTGAATGTATGATTTGATGTTTCATTGCTGTTAGTTGTTTTGGCATTTTACAAATAGTTTGGTATTTGTACAATTAATTTGCCTTTTTATTTAAAATTTATTGAGTCATATTCATATCTCTAAATATGAAATGTTGGGGTTTTTGCAGATGAGGATTGTATGAAGGGTTTTGGTCCTTCTCTGCTTTAGTTTTGCTTCAGTATTTTGCCTAATTTCAGATTTGATCAATCTGCCTCTTTGAATAATTGAATATTAAATATGATCATTTGTTGTACATAGAACTCCTATTAAACTTTTTTGAAGAAAAGAAAGAATTGTGCTGCTTGTTTTCATTTCTTCTGAATATGTCATAATTTACTTGAATATAAAACTGCTAAGACTTGCCCACACTAAAAGATTTTGAAAATCTTATCAGATTTTCAAAATGCGAGAGACCACAAACATGACGATAAAAAAAAAAATCAGATTTAAAGGGGTCATCGGATGCCCATTTTCCACAAGTTGGTATGATTCTTTAGGATCTTCATGTAAAGTTTTTTTACATACTTTGGTTAAAATTCCTCAATGGTTGTGTAAAACAACACCCTTTTTATCTCCTCAAAAACAGCTCGGTTCACAGCGACCCGTTTCGGTGCATGTCTCTTTAAATGATAATGAGCAACTGCTCACCCCACCCCTCTCTTCCGTGGGGTGTCGACGTAAAGTGCTGCCTTGGCAGACAGTATACAAATGGCTGAGGGCGGAAATATGCTAATACAGGACAGTCCGTCAGCGGTCGTGGGCGGAGCATGAGCAATATGACATCATACGAAAAACAGCAAAAAACAAAATACGTACCAATACGTACATATCACTGCAGTTTGTAACAGAAATGAACAGCACATGTACATCTGTAAGATGTCTGCTAAAGATCTGGAGATCTGGAAAACACCTGTTGTGTAAATACATCTGATAAACATCTGAGAATGAGCAGTTTTACATACATTCTAAACCATAAACATCTTACAGACATCTTCTAGATGTCGTTTTGACATCTGACAGGAGACGTCTCAGAGATGTATTCCAGATGAGCAAACATTAAAAAATACAGATGTCTCTAAGATGTTTGTGTGCTATAGAGGCTGTAAAACAGCAAGCACTTTTAATCGTTTTCACACACATTTATGATTACAGGGGCAAATTATGGATTAATAAAGATTTGTTTTCACGAGGCTCCTTGCACAATTATGTTATGACCCCAAAACACTTTTTACCATAGTGCATGATTTGTAAACTAATATATTTTGTAGGGGTGTAACGATATTTGAACCGAACCGAAAAACCGCGATACACCACCCACGATACGTATCGCGATACTCTCATGGCGAACCGAACACGCCCCGCCCCCTGCTGCCCCGCCCAGACCCGGCTCATTGCACCTCATGTGTTATGTGTACACAACGAATACAGGGCTGTTGCCTAACCACCATTAACCACATATAATCGCAATAAGCTCAGTGTTTTGTTACTTTTGATAATAAGCAAGGTGTAATCTTTCAAATTATGTCTATTTGATCACGAAATGCAAACAATAAATGCCGTTTTGGCGCTCTTAGATGTGGCGTGACAGATATCACTGTATGCATGCGGCAGCGCGGAGCGCGATCGTCTCTTCCTCAGTTACAGAATAAACATGAATGGACACCCGAAGGTATGTTGAAAGATACAGTATACTTACTGAAAGGCATCATAACTCGTGTAAACACTCAATCAGTGTTTCAACAGCGGAAATACGTCAATAAAACGCTTAGTTTTTCACATAGCTTTATATTTACCTCAGGCAAGTCATTCAGTGTCCACAGCTTGCTGGTTTGCTAACTCTTTCACTAAATAAATGCTATATATTAGCCTATATATTATATTTTACTTAACCTGTTTATGATATCTTGATTATTTAATGTATGTTTAAAATAGTTGTTATGAAAATAACAGCAACTGTGTAAATTATTATATAACAATAACAAATTAGAGTAAAAACATGTTAATGCAAAAATTGCCTTATGTGCAGTTTACATGTTTTCATACAATTTGTTATTTGAATGTTGATTATTATTATATCATTTAGGCTAATAGTCTAGGCTCTGTTGTTAAGCTTTAATGTTATAGTAATGTGCAAGTAAGGGCTGTAGTTTACAGCATTAGCAGATAATTTTGTTATCCTTGAGAAACGTTTACTTGTAATTGAATTAATTTAAAGACAAGGACACAATTTGTTCATTAAAGCACTGTTTAATAAAAAATAAAAGCAATTTTAGCTTTCTAAACCCCCCCACCCCACCGAAATGAACCGAACCGAACCGAACCGAGACCTCAAAACCGTGGGACGAACCGAACCGTCAGGTTTGTGTATCGTTACACCCCTAATATTTTGGAGTTTGCATCATTAACCAGCTCCATATGTTCGGTTTTACTGACTTACTAAGCTTGTTCGGTACAGAATTGTACTTGCAATGCGGAGAGCTCGGATACGAATCCCGTGAAAGACAAGAGTTCAAAAACTAAAATACCATGGTTACGATTGCATTTATGTCATATTTGCTTTTGTTAACACTATAAGGTAGGTTTAGAGTTTAGTATAGGTGTACATGCAGGACCCAATGTATTTTGCATTTTGCAAAAATGTTGCCACAGGTAAGTTTTTCTAATGTGCCTGGGCTGGACGTTCTTCCGAGCAGATTCAGTCACTTTTATCACACACACCACAGTAAAATCTGATAAAATAATCTGTAGAAACATCAAGATAATCGGGACTTTACCTAGGATTGTCAAAAGGGGAGAATTGGGCCCAAAATCAGCCCGATTATCTTGCACTGTGTGGGTGCCTTAGGCTTCCTCAAACTCGGTCCTGGAGGGCTGAATGAGTCCTGCAGAGTTTAGCTCCAACCCTGATCAAACACACCTACCTGTGAGTTTCTAGTGATCCTGAAGACCTTGATTAGCTTGCTCAGGTGTGTTTGATCAGGGTTGGAGCCAAACTCTGCAGGACTTTAGAGTTCCAGGACCAGTGTACACAGGACCAGTGTATTCTAATTAATTTACTAGTTCCAAATATCTGGCATTGTTTTTAGAAACATGACATGAAGTATTTGATTCCTAGATGTTGGATGGCTTTATTATTATTTTTTATTAATGTAAAGATTAATAGAGTGTCTATACAATTTATACTGTACAAAAGAATGACTTTTCCTTAAATGTTTCTGAAGATTGCAAAAAGCAAGCCAGCCTTTTAACATTTTCACAGGGAATGGTTGACATTTTCCTATGGTTTAGCTTCTGAAAGGCACCTCCTAGGTGTATTTCTTTCAAAATACTTAGAAAATGTGTTCATGATGATGGTGATGGGTAAAGAAGTCACAAGTAACCCACAGAGAATGCAAAGTGTAGCTACAATTCTCCCAGCCACTGTCTGTGGATATACATCTCCGTATCCTACTGTTGTCATTGAAATAATGGCCCACCACCAACAAACAGGAATGGAAGAGAGTTTGGACAAAGCTTCTTCCTTTTCAGTGTAGTAGATAAAAGTTGAGAAGAACGATATTCCAACATAAATGAAAAGAATGAGGAGACCCACCTCACTGTGACAGTTCTTTAGAGTTTCCCCAAACGCTCTCACCCCTTCTGAATGTCTTGCAAGCTTTAGGACCCTGAAGGCCCTCATTAACCGGAGAACCTGAACCAACTTGCCCATGTTGACCAGACTTTGGTTTTTCTCCCCATCATCTTCGTCCAAACTTTCAAAGGCCAGAGTCACGTAGAAAGGCAAGATAGAAGCTATGTCGATCATGTTCAGAGGGTTTCCCAAAAAACTCCATGGGCGAGGAGCTGCTACGACCCGCAGGGCAAACTCCACTGAGAAGAAAAGGATACAGATGACCTCCAGAGAGTCTAGGACAGAATGCTCACTGTCAGTTGCGTGCCTGAATTCCGGCATACTGTGGATACACATGGCCACAATGGAGGTCAAAATGACCAGGACAGAAACCACCGCTACACCTTTGGAACATTTGGAGTGACTGGGATCTTCAAGAGTTTGCCACATGAGCTTACGCGCTTCTGAACACCAGGTGCCCTCAAACCTCCACAGGTCACTGCTCACAACCGAGATACCCTCTGATGAGGTGCCACTACCTGACCGGCCACAAGCGTTCTGCTTCCGTTCAAGGAACCAATCGAGACAGCAGGCTTCCAGATCCAGCTCACAAATGCCCCAGTATTCGATCTCCTGGCTGAAATAAAACACACACAGTTCCTCAAGAGCATGAAAGTGTCCCGTACGGTAGAAGTTCAGAACACAGTGGAAGACTTGAGGGCTCCGGTCGAAATAGTATTCCTGTTCAGCGGGGCTGTAGTCGTCACAGAGTTCCAAGATGGCGGCATCGCTGCAGCACTGGATTAACTGACCCACGCGTGTGTTGGGGAACCGGAGCAGAACGCAGCGCTCCACCTTGTGCTGGATGCCTCCAACGTTGAGGTTAATGAGATCTTCCTCCCTGCCTTGATGGTGGAGAATTTGTCCATACATCATGGTGGTGCTGATTCGTTGAATCTGGAAGTCTTGCCAATGAAATACTTGCATTATCTACTAAAAATACAGAAATGTGGATGTTAGCTACATCAAAAACGGTTTAATCATTCAGCTAATGAACTCAGTTGATAAATTGGTCAATAACTAAACTCTTAGGGAAAAAAGTTAATGTGGGTTATATATAGAACCCTAGGGTTCTCTACTCAATTCTGGTGCCCCTTTTTACTTTTACTTCATCGGAATGGAACGAAACTTGGTAAAGGTTTTGGCACTTGCTGTGAACACAAGAAATCATGGACATGATTTGAAAAGGTTAAATGGTCCTGAAAAAAATAGTCACACTTGTGCTCCTCGTGGTTAAAAATGGCCGCATTGGAAATGAATGGGAGACGAATTTCATCTAGTGAAATCTTTTGGTACTGCAGCCCAAACAAAATCTTACTGAAAGCTATTTTTTGAGATATCAAGCTCAAATTTGGAACACAACATGTTTAAATTTATGGCTTTGATTTTCTTGCAGTTTTAGAGTAAAACATGTTTTTGAAAATATAGATTTCATATAAAAATTTTGAATAGTAATTTTGTAAATTTTTCATAACAATAAACGTGAAATTCTGTAACTTTTATAAAATTTACTTTTTAAAACTTTTTTTCACTTCAGCAATAATTTGCCACGTCTTTAAAAAATAGATCAAACTTAAGTCTGTGCTTTAAAGCATTTAATATTTATGACAGTAAGTTGGAAATATAGTTTTCAGGTCTATATGCTAGAGAGTATTGTCTGGGGTCAGGGCTAGGGATCATATTACCCCTGTCTTGGGAGTCTTTGCACTGGCTCGCTGTCAGGTACCGTTTAAAATCCTTATGCTGGCATATAAGGCTTTGCATAATCTGGCTCCTCAGTACTTGACTGATCTATTAATGCCTTACACACCACGTCGTAATCTGCGTTCCTCTCAGAGTGGTCTCTTGGTTGTTCACAAGACACGGCTTCGTTCTAGGGATGATAGAGCATTTTATTACTATGCTCCTAAGCTTTGGCATTTTCTCCCGGCCGACATCAGGGAAGCAAATACATTAGTGACTTTAAAATCTCTTCTCAACAATTTTTTATTTTAGGATTGCCTTTACTTGATTATTCATTTTATTTGTTTATTTTTGTATTTAAAGTGTGTAGTTTTCTCTGTTGTTATGTTTGCCTGTAAAGCACTTTGAGAAAGCAACTTTTAAAGGCGCTATATAAAATACATTTATTATTATTAGTATATGCCCAAAACGTGAAAAAGTGTATTATAACTACTGTGTAAATATAATGTAGTACCATAAAATCACCTAAAAATACAAAATATGAAATAAAAAAAAACATTATCAAACTGAAATATGGTACATTCCATTCATTAAAAAAAAAAAACTAATTTTTTTACCTCCACCAGAGCACTTTGCCAAAAAGGTTCTATATAAGGAGAAATATCTTAAATGATTGCATAGTACTTTTATACTCATGACAGAATTTTATTTTTTGTTGGACTACCATTTAAGCTTGCAAGAATGTTAAAAATATTTTGTGTAATCTCTGACAGGGCATTTTCAGGTAATTTTGCCATTTGTGTGCCATGACTTTATGATGGAAGGATTGTTTATCAGTAACATTTTCCATACATCAATCAAATAAATAAAATAAATGAATAAATAATTTCTTGCACATATTTCTTGAGGATCTCTGTCAGAAAAAAAAAATCCACAAAGTGTGGATTGATCTTAAAAGTTTGTATTATATATATATATATATATATTACAAACTTTTAAGATCAATCCACACTTTGTGGATTTTTTTTTACAGCAGAGGATCTGTTTACAGCAGGTGAGTTGAGGTTAAGGAAACCATAAGTTCAACTCACCTGCTGTAAACAGATCCTCTTGTAGAGAAGGAATCCATCTAGCCTATTTATTCTGTAGGTCAACATATTTAAAGGGTGACATCACTGCAACAGAATACAGAATACACTGCATTTAGCACAATGATAGATGAGCATATGCACCGATTATGTTTTAATGTTCTTTGTTTTTGACATTTTATTGACACTGATTTGAGAATAGGCTAGCTTTTTTTTTGTTATATTAAATCTTATCAAAGGTAAATAAATAAAGGCAACATAACTTAAATATTCTGTAAATTGCTTTCAGCAGCTAAACAGGAACTAAAACAATTGATGAAACGGCAATGTAGGCCTATGAGTAAAAATGACAACATGAACAACACATTTGAAAATGTTTGAAATGTGAACATGCTATTTACATAAAAAAAGAAAAATACTTTAAATAGAAAACCAGAAAATAACTATACGTCCTGAGAAAACAGTTGCCTAATTAATTGACTCTTGTATCGAGTTCACATACCAACAGCTGGCCTATAGCAAAACAAATTAGATAGTGAGATTTTGGCTTCCAAGATGTTTGAAACATAAAAAAATGACTGCTAGAGAATCCAAGCATTTATAACTCAAAAGCATTTAGTTACCGAGAAACAGTCCTGATAAAACCTTTAACAGTGAAACTTGACATCTAGACCCAGTGCTCCCCATGAGTCATACCTAGAATAAGACATCAAACAAAACTGGCAAAAGAGACAATGCTTACCGCGAATAAAAAAATCAACTTAGGATCACATACCCACGCGGCTTCAAATCATTAGTGCCTTTCCGCACTGACGTCTTAAAAAGCGCAAACCTCAAAAGAAACGTTCACTTAATACATGATCACTATGGGTAACATAGAGCCAACAGTTTCCCCATTAACCTTCAAATCCAGGTTCACACCTTTGGGCGGAGAGTTCTGTGAGAGGTGGTTGAGTTCCTCACCTGCGCGCAATACTGTGCAATCAGACGGAACGCGCTCGAGACACCGTTCTTAATCACCTTCCGGTGAGGTCACTCGTTTGTGTAGAAAACACAGTTGATGGTTTGTAAAACACATTAACAAAGATTTCAAAGAATGGGATGCTTTGAAATAGGGTATGTTCCAGCTATGGAAATAAGTGTGTTTGAATTCATCAAGAGATGTGCTAATTTATTTATAATGCTTTTAGGGCTTTATGGCTTATGGTCAATATAATAAGCATTGATGCAGATACCTCTGCAGGTAAGCCGTGCTAACCATTTAAACTTTATGTGTGTCAAATCATGTAATTCATTATTTAATGGACTATTCTTGCAGGTGGAATACAAGCGGAGTGTCTTGGAAATAGGGTGCAGTTTACTCTCCCGAGCTCTCTGAGTGAAGGAAGTCCTTTAGAGGTTTATGCAGTCAGTAAGTTGATTATCCCTTTGTTTGTGTGCCAATGAGTTTAATACCCCCAGGAATCAATTCAGAGCTTCTCTGGGCGTTTCAGATAACGCACAGACCGTCTTTCTCACACCTCACCTGGCGGCTCAGTGTGGCTACACACAGAAATTGGATCCTTGGGGGAATACGATAGTGTCAGCTTCCCTAAAGAGTTGTTTTGCAGAGAAACAGGTTTGTGTCTTTTATAAATTAAGCATTCCTTTAACCAGCTCTAGTCCTGGAACTATTGTTTATCACAGAAAATATGAAGGAGAAAGGTTGGTGCATTTCCACAATAGAGTGGGTGTTTGAGAGAAAAAAAAATGTATAGACCCAACCAGGTTTATTTATTTTTCATTGTTGTAGGGAGACAAGGAATTTAAAGTAGCCATACAGGTTAAACTCTATGAATTCCCCATGCTAACTGCGAAAGTCCTTGAAGCGTCCAAGTCCTGCAGTCACACTGTGGTTTCACGTGAGATTTTGTGTGAGACAAACTCCATGGAGGCAAGTAACTTCATTTTCTTATATAGCAAATATTTTGTCCTTTAGACTAAAATATGGACATTTTAGACATTACATATTGTCTGTATCAAGTTTGACCAATGGCAGCTGGATAGTTTTTGGGATTGATAGCTTCTTAATTTGAAGTGGATCACCTTGCTTGCGTTTGAGTAAAATATCATGCCTAGTACTGAAATACCTTGTTTTAAAAACTTAAAATATAAAATTAGTAAGCTTATTCTCTCCTTGACTCCAGAGGCCTGTTGCATGAAGCCGGTTTCTGTTGCTACCAGTTAAGTTTGAGATCAGTTTGAGCAAACTCTGGGGGGTTTTATGGGCTCAAGAAGGTGGATTGGTTTTTAGCGATGTTCAGGGCCATGGTAACGTGCTACACGCAAACCAAAGCTGGACCAATCAGCTGTGAGCAAAGTGACACATATCTGATGCAATAAAGCCACTCCCCCTGTATCTCACACTCCAAATTAAGGGTCTGTTTACATGACACGGGTTTCAACTTTTAATGTGTTTTGGCCTTTCTTTTACAACTGGCTGAATACGCAAATGGGATTCCAAGTAAAATGTTTTTGAAAACGATGCCGCTATTGTCTCCGTGTAAACTACAAAAACGCACATTTGTAAAAATGTTGACATAATGCACATTCGTATTATGTGTTCAGTCTATAGGTGCGTAGTGTTTCTTTACAAAGTGACATCACCAACTGCTGGCCTGGCAATAATAATATCTTTGGTCGTTTTCACTGCTTTGTGAGAACTGGGATCGTTTTGACAATTTTGTCATCTGTATGCAGAAAACCGTTTCCGTTTTTAGTACTATGTTGTCATGTAAACGTACCCTAAAAATCTTAGAGACAAATCCCATGGTCCGTCTGATTGGCTGTTTGCTGCATGTCACACTTTCAGGTGAACACAGTTCAGAGTTAATCTCAAACTCTGGGTCAAACACGGAGTTGACAGAGAACGTTTATACAGAGCATTGTGAGCCTGCTGAACTTGATCTAAACCATGTTGGATTTGTATGATTTTGTCAACTCAAAACCTACTCTGAAACCCAGAGTTTGTTCAACTAGCTTCATGCAACAGGCCTCAAGTAGGCCAAGATTGCCACTGCTGCAACTCAATGCAATCAGTAACTCATTGAAAGGGTTTGTTACCTGCTATGGCTAGATCTCCACAAAATAATCTTTGAATGCTCTTTATGTTTAAA